CCATGTCTCTCCAATTTAGGGACAAGGATATCATGTGGGACAGTGTCAAACGCTTTGCATAAGTCCAGGCAGATGATATCAGTTGCTCTGCCCCTAGCCACAAATGCTGTGGCCTCATCATAAAAGGCCACCAAATTCGTCAGGCACTGGACTGAGTTATCACCCATACTCCCCAATAAATCTGTTTTCCCTTCCAATAAATGCCAGGCTAAGACATTTTGAAGAGACACCACCACGATAGGGGAAGGGAGAAGGGACATGGAAAGCAAACAAGTGCTCTAACCTCCCAAGCTGTTGCTGCTTTTCTAGAGGGAGGGTAAGCCAACATCACAGCCAGGGCCTGTCTTTCCAGTTCAGCTGGAGGAGTTTGCTATCTGAAAGGGCTTTTCCCACACTGACTCTTTCAGATCTATCAGCACCATCAGGGCAGAGCCAGGGAGCCCAGGCCAGAGTGTGTGTGCAGTCATCAGCCAGGACAGAAATATGACCCTGGGGACAGGTCACATCTTCCTCACACTGAACTCTGAAGCTCACAGGATGCACCCAGCAACTTTCTCCAGCCACAAAACCAGATGAGCTCCAAGGAGCAGCTCCTTCTCAGAGCTCACAGACATCAAGGTGCTTGGCCTCAGGCCCCAAGTGCAGGAAGCAAAGAGGTAGAGGGCACAGCCCCAGCCCACAAAGAGTGTTTTACTGTTTACCCTTGTAAAAAGGAAACACTCTGTTTGCCTCAAGATTAGAACTTTCCTGTGTAATTTCTGTGCCATCAAACATGATGCAAGTGTCAACCTGGCAGCTGTAAATCCTGCCCACAGGTGTACTACACTCAGAAAACATCCTTCTTTGGTCAAGATGAGATGTGTGATACAGAGCCTGCTGCAACTCCAAGGTGCTCCAAGGGCACGGGAGTGCCTCTGCCTCCCCAGCTAACACAGAGCTGCTACAAACATCAGTGCAGGAAGGAGGAAGACCCTGTGAGCTTGGGCAAACCCCAGGCTGAGGTGAGTGACTGAAGCACTGCAAACACTGCAGCCCATGCCCAGCACCTGCCACAGTCACGAAACCCACAGGCTGCAAACTCACCAAGGCACCAAAGTTGTGCCTCATGCTTTATGTATGTATCTATGCTATCCAGACACTGAATATAAACACCTATTTGTTCCTAGAGCCAGGATTTAGGGTGGTTTGAGTCTCTTAATTCTCTGCTTGCTGCTTTTTTAAGGCCCGTGCTGCACAAGCCGAGAGACTCTGCCTTTTCATTGCATGCCAAACCCAGCTTAATGAAATCCACAGGAAAATGCTGGTAACATGAAATATGAAAATGCAAACCACAAGGGCAGTCTGGTCTGATTCCCACCATACACATGTTCAAACAAGGTTGTTTTCCAGGACTTGATTAGCACTTCTAGCAGGATGATGTAATACCAAAGGAAAGAAAAAAGACAAGGCTGTAGCTCTTCTCCTCACTTAAAAAGAGCAGCAAAGCACCGGGGAGAAAACAAAAAAGGCCAAAGATAAAATACCACAGTCAGCCTCAGGCTGGAGTTTGTACAGTTTCATGTTATTCCCCAAAAGAAGAGCAGGACCTGCAGAAGCCCCTCCACGCTGGGTGGTGATAGATACCTGGGATGGGGCTGCAGGGGACACATAATGGCTTCCCTGGCACCCCCCCAGTTTCAGGGTGGCTGCTCATGGTTGGGAGAGCACTTAGGCAGCTTTAAAGCCTCCTGCAAGATCAGAGAACTCCTTAATGTGCAGCTGTGGTGGAGCAGATGTTTGGAAGAGGGGGGGGGGAGAGGCTGTGGTTCGCTAATGATGATTTCCCTTCTAAAGGTCTCATCAACCCCAAAACGTCCTAGCAATGTTAATTAGCATCAATCACTACAGCCAGAGAGGCTGTTTGATACGTGCTCAGAGCCTGACAGGCCTTAGGTACTTACACACAGGATGCAAAGTCACAGCTGAGGTTGAGCTCGACTGCAGGAAACATCCACGGCAGGACCAGGATCACTACAGAATCCAGTGTCAGTCTGCTCCTGGCAGGCTCCACAGCAGCACACAGGCCTTGGGGCACCCAAACCCTGCCCCAGCCTGGAAACAGGCATAAGGAACCACTGGACACATGAGGTGGGTTTCTAAGCTGGTTGAAAGGTCAGGTACTGTCTCTGCTCACGTCTGAGTCACAAGAGCCAGAGAGCTCCTGAACACCAGCCTGGGGACACCACAGAGCATCTGTGGTTTACTCTGCAAGTCAGGGCTGAACAGCAATTAACTGGAGGCTATAGAAAACCAGGAGCCTGGAGGTGCAGGAAGCAGAGGTAGTGCAAGGGCAGAGAACTGATCATGCTGTTCACCCTACAACGGGTGTTTGAGGGGAAACACCACACTCTGGGGAAAAACTGTCTGGGGTAAATGGAAGCTCATATTGACCAGACACATATTTGTCCCCTCTCCTGCTAAACATGAGAGGGAAAAACACAACCCAAGACACAAGAAAAAGCAAAACATCAGCTCAGTTTGGGGAATTTGGGGGAAAAGAGCTGAATACAAATGTCACCAGGAGGAGAGGATGAAACACAAGGTAGGGAGAGCTCATGCAAGGGCAGTCCAAGCTCACTAATGTTGCTTCGTCCCCATTAATGCCACACCATCCCAGGCTCTGCCAAACTCCCCCTCTAGCTCAGCCCATCAAACAGTGAGGAGAGGCCTCACACTCACTTCTCCCACCCCCCTCAGCAGCATCAACATGGATCACTGTCAGCCTGTTTGAACAGACTGAAACCTGCCAGGGAGCCAAGAGAAGCACACAGGGCAGGCACCACCTGCTCTGCTTTTGGGCAGGGATGCTTTTCCCTCCCTGTAATAGCAGGAAGCTGAACTTCATAACCTGCTTAATCAATTTGTCCAACATGTGCAGGAATGTGCCAAGTCCAGGAAACTGTAAAGACCTTCTACTTGCACTCTTGCAGATTTTCTTCTCTGCAAACCTCTTTCGTGCCACATACAGCTCTGAGCTGTCTTCCTACCATCAGGTGTCTCCTTGGGCACATTCCTAACTAAATATATAATGCCCCAAACAAATACTAACACCCTAAGTCAATATATTAACACACAACCTCCCCTGTTGCATCCAACAGTTTATTTAGCTTTATGATCACATCTGTGTACTGGTCTCAGGGGAACATCCAATTCCAGCCCACCCCAGCTAGGCATGTCTGAGGCTTTGCCTCTGACATCCCAGACTCTCCTTAGAGAATGGAAGAAAAGCATTTAAGGATAAGGCTTGCAAGAGCTCACAGCCTCCAAGGCCAGCACAGGCCAGGGCAAGCCCAGCACACTGCCAGGGACTCGGCCAAGCTGCCTGGGCTCTGGGTCTCAGCGAGCTTTAGCTACAACAGCCACTGCAAAGAGGGAATTTGCAGGTTAACACCCCCCACATGGTGATACCTCCCACCATCCCTTAAACTACCACACACACTCCCACTGCTTCAGGCTCCAGCTTTTGATTTAAGTGTAAATGCAAGAAGATCTCTTGGCTGGGCAAGCCCCAGAGGCAGGAGGAGCATGGAACCAGCCTTCCCAGTGCAGCTCCTGCAAGCTTCTCCAGCTCCTCACTGCCTGAAACCAGACTCCTTCTGGGACATGGATCTCTTCCTGCATAACTGAAAACTTTCCTTCCACACTCTCCCATTTTCCCCACAATTTCTCCACCCCATGTTGGAGAGATGGAGCCAGAGCAGCTCCTGTTGTGCTTCTTTTAGGTGTTTTTAATAAGTTTCAGCCTGCAGCACAGGGATGAGCTGTGCCCAGTGAGCAAAGACTCCTTAAAGGACTGATAGGTGCCCTCAAATGACACTAGCATGGATTCAGCCCATGAAGCACATCATCCTTCTACTCACTAAACAGGTATGAGTAACACTAGGAACTGGATGCTATTGGGAACATGTGGATTGAACCACGTGACTTTTACAGTCCAACCTCTAGCAGCAGGAAAATCTCCCCTACTGGGAAATCAGTCCCTCTTCTCCCTGCAAGGGAAAATCCCAAGGGTAGGGTTTCCTGCACCAGTATCTCACACCTCTAATCTGCCCCTTAAATTGAGGCAATATCCAGTAAGTGGTCCTAAAATAACTTACACACACCTGCCCTTGGCAGCAGAGCCATTACACCAGCCCTGACACTGCTACTCGTCACAGAACTTCCTTCTCCTTACTCCAGTGGTTTGGATTGCCCTGCAGATGAACTCTGAGCATTATTAGGTTGGTTTGCAAATGTTATTTCCCATTTTATCCCTGACATGTCCCTCCCAGTGGTCAGCAAAACCGATGAGCCAAGCAAGACTCATCTGGTGCCATCTGCATGCCAGTGTACTCCCAGCCCTAGAAATCTCATCTTTAAGCAGCAGCAGAGTGAAATTCATCTTCTCAGAGTGAAATCCCTCTTCCCAGGTCAGAGTGGAGTCATTTGCTCAGGTAACATGCTTCATTTGGCCTCCCTTTCTCTGCCTGCACCACGCAAACAAGCTGTCATCGCACGGGGCCTGCACTGGCTTGACTCAGCGGAGGGAGCAGCACCACGAGGAGGTGGGGAGAGGGTGAAGGAAATCTCCATTTCCAGCTGTAAGAAACTGGATGAAGAGCCCCTGGGAACTTCAGACCACAGAGGTGGCATTGAGAAACAAGCCTAGGAAGAGCAGAGGGACCCGAGGCAGCTCCTCACACCACCAGCACACCCAATGTCACAGGTCACCACTTCCATGCCTTGAGGTTTATCTTGTCTTAGAAAGCAAGAAGCTGAGTGTGGAGGGACTTAGCTGCCCGGGATGTAGTGAAATCCCCTGGGGGAATTCTTTGTTGCATGACACCATGACTCAGGACTGTCCAGATGAACTACTTAATGCCAAAGTTTGACCTTCTCTACAAAAGATTTTACTGCATCTTGTGGCAAGTACCAGGAGATAAAACCCCTTAATCTCTCAGAACCCTGCAGCCAAGCTGCTGACAGACCCTGTGCAAGAGCTCCATGTGGAGCATGACCACTACACATCCCAGGTCAGTCAAACCCTGACATTGTCTCCAGCCTTCCAGGGGATTTCTCTTATTTAGGTTTCTAAGCTGCATTTCTCATGTCTTCTCCCTCCCTGGGCCATGACTCAGCTCAAAAGGGCAATTTCCTTTCCTTCCTGACACACAGCTATTTCCCCCAGTGTCAGCCCAGCTGCCCACCAGCAGCTTACAAGATGTGACCACAAAACAGGTATTTGGTGCTAACTGCTTGGAAGGAAGAAGCCTCCTCACTCTCTGCTCCAAACCAGTGAGCCTGGAGAGTAGCTCCAGGGCCCACAGCCCCTCCAGACCTCCTGCCTGGGGCTGCTCAGACCCAGGGCAAGCAGAGAGGTGCCAAGGACAGGGGTGGGGAGCAAAGAGGCACCACTGGTTAATATTTCTGTAAAAACTGACCTTTTAAAAGCTATTTTTAAAGTCATTAAAAAGCTAAACTTCAGCAGAAGAAAGCCTGAGGCTTCCTCCCCGTTCAGAGCTGCAAGAGGGTTTCATACCTGGCATAAACCTTAGATAAAATAAGGAAATTTGTTATCAGAGTACTGCTGGAGTGACACAGCTCTGCCAGGAAGGCAGTGCTGACCCTGGTGGCAGTGCTGAGCTGGAGAGAGCCCAGGGGATCTCAGCCTCATAATGCCACCTCGTGGGAATCGCTGGAATGCAGCAGGCGCCCAGGCAGGAGCTCTTCCAACTGAGCTTTACCATCTGCCCGCAGTAACCTTTTATTTCAAGTCCTCCACAGGGCAACATGAACTCCGCACAACTCACAGGCTTCAACTCCAGACAGTGCTTCCTCCCACACCATGGGAACAGAGCTAAAACAGGAGGGGTTTTGGGAAGGCGTACCAAACACTCTGAAAATTTAACTTGGGGCTGCAACTTCTTACTTAAGGCAATCACTCTGATTAATTTTGACTGTTAAACTTGTTTGGCTGCTAATGTACTTATAGAAGTGTTGACATGGAATTAATCATTGCATTTGCAGAATTTAAATACATACCAGCATTTATGTGGAATTAACCAAGGGAGGGACTCTGTCCCTCTGCTCTGCTCAGATGAGACCTGTGTGCACTGCTGCCTCCAGCTCTGGGGCACCAACAGCAGAAAGCTGTGGAGCGGCTGGAGTGAGCTTGAGAGGCCACAGAGATGCTCCGAGGGCTGGAGCACCTCTGCTCTGAGACAGGCTGGGAGAGCTGGTGGTGTTCACCTGAAGAGAAGGCTCTGGGAAGACTTAGTGCCCCTTCTGGTGCCCAAAGGGGCTCCAAGAGAGCTGGAAAGGGACGTGGGACAAGGGCCTGGAGACACAGGAGAAGGGGGAATGGCTTCCCACTGTCAGAGGGCAGGGTTAGATGGGATATTGGGAAGAAATTCTTCCCTGTGAGGTGCTGAGGCACTGGCACAGGTTCCCCAGAGCAGCTGTGACTGCCCCATCCCTGGGAGTGTTCCAGGCCAGGTTGGATGGGGCTTGAAGCAACCTGGGCTAGTGGGAGGTGTCCTTGCCCATAGCAGGTGGTGCCCATAGCAGGTGGTGGGACTGGATGAGCTTTAAGGTCCTTCCAACACAAACTATTCTGGGATTCTATGATTAAATCAAAGTGCTCAGCCTGTCCAAAGACCAGACCTGCCTTCTCACCACTGCAGGATACCTTTCCACCGGGACCAGAATCCCCCTGGCAGGGTGACAGCCTTCCACTGAAGCTTTCCAACCTGCCCATCTGTCCTTGTCATATGTGATATATACATATTTAGCACACATATATATAGCACATATATATATATATACACACGTATATGTATATACACACATTTGAGCTATATATGTGTGTATATATATATATTTAGTGTGCACATATATATATATTTATACTTGAGTTTTGTAACACATGGATGTGTGAAATCAGCAGGGAGATGGGGCCTGTCTGCTCCAGGCACTTGAGGTTCCCAGCATTTAAATCCCCACAAACACACCTGTCCTTATCATGTGACAAAAACACAGCCCAGGAGGTGACACTCTGGGATGAGAAGGAGCTGCATGTGCTCTGCCGATTGTTTCCAAGGCAAACCTTCTGGGGAGAGACAGTATCTTACTAGAGTTCCTGACATCACTGAAACATATCCAGGGAAAGCCTTCAGAGCCCCAAGCCCTTCTGCACCTTTACATCAAGGCACAGGCAGATGATGGCAAAGAATCAAGCAGTGGCTGTTCAGTGGCTCATCAGCTGATCCATGTGTCCAACAGTGTGGAGAAAAGGGGATGAAATGGGGCAGCACTGGGATAAGATGTTGCCTTTGGCATGGCAACGACCCACCAACCTCTCCACCTGGGCCAGGTGTGCTCCTGTCACCAAACCACAATCAGGGTAGAATCACAGAATGTTAACAGGTTAGAATGGACCTTAGAGATCATCTAGACCCAACCCTTTGCCCTGGGCAGGGACACCTCTCACCAGAGCATGCTGGTCAAG